ACTGCTGACAGGTCTAGCAACAGCAGCACTGTTGTCCCGCCCCGATCCAGATGCCTCTGGAGGTCATCCGTGAGAGCGACCAGCGCTGTCTCCGTCCCATGGCCAGGGCGAAAACCGGACTGGAAAGGATCTAGCGTGGAAGCGTCATCCAGAAAGCTCTGCAACTGCACCGCCACCGCTCTCTCAATTAACTTGCCCAAATAAGGCAATAGTTGGCCAATTCAGCCGGATCCAGTGATGGTTTTTTAAGGAGGGGGTGGACCATCGCTTCCTTGAGAGCCCCCGGGAACAGTCCCTCCGAGAGGGACTTGTTGATAATATCCCTGAGGGCACCTTGCAACCCCTCGCAGCCAGCTTTAATTAGCCAGGAGGGGCACGGATCAAGGCTGCAAGTGGTTGGGCGTACAGTAGAGATCAGTCTGTCAACTTCCTCTAGGCTGAGTGGACTGAAATAATCCAGAATGGAACCAGAAGACATGCATGGAGCCTCGAGTTCACTCACTGTCTCAACTGTGGCGGGGAGGTCACGGCAGAGCACCAAGACTTTATCTGCAAAATAGCTCGCAAAAGCCTCACAGCTGATATCCAATTCCCTAGTGTTTTGTCTGCCCTGTGGCAGAGCTGTTAAAGACTGAATTGTTCTAAATAATTGTGCTGGGCGTGAGCTGGCAGACACAATTGAGGCTGCGTAGAACTCCCTCTTCGCAGCTTTGACTGCCACCTCATAGGATTTCATAAACGTCCTATAAGATGCTCTTGTTGCTTCGTCGCGAGTGCGCCACCACTGTCTCTCAAGCCGTCTATAAGCCTTTGCTTCATCAGCCTCAGCTCCTGGGTGTACCAGGGAGCCAGCCTTGTGCACAGGCACAGAGGGTGTCTGGGAGTGATCTCATCGATGACTGTGGAGAGTCGGTTATATCAGTCCTCGACTAGCTCATCTAGTGAGCCGCCAGGGGGCATAGGATCCCGCAGAGCCATCTGAAGCCGCACTGAGTCCATTTGGCTCTGCAGGCGAGCTAAAATACGCTCGCCGCCAACACAGGGTTGGGGTGACACATTCACTCGGGCCCTCAGGGCATGGTGGTCCGACCATGGAACTGCCGTAGCAGTGATCCGGTCCACTGTAACCCCCGCCGCGAAGATCAAATCAAGCGTGTGACCAGCTCGGTGAGTGGGGGCCGTTACATATTGGGAGAGTCCCAGCGCCACCATGGACGACATCAGGTCCGACACCCGTGAGGAAGCCACATTGTCGGCATGGACATTGAAGTCACCCAAGACTATCAGTCTAGGGTGCTCCAATGCCCAGCCTGACACGGCCTCCACCAGGGACGGCAGACTGTCAGGCGGTGCGTTGGGCAGACGGTACACCAACTAGACAGCCAAACTCTCCCTGGTTTCCCACACAAAGCCGGCACACTCAATGCCTGTGAGCAGGGCCGGCTCACCCACTAGGCGAACTAGGCATTCGCCTAGAGCACTGGGCCCTGGATGGGGTGCCAAGCTGTGCCTCCCCCCCTTTGGTGGCGGCGGGGGCAGGGGGGACAAGCGGTGGTGGCGGCAGCAAAAGGGTGGCTGGCTCCAGAGGTCTCCAGGTCTTCAGGCACCACCGGGAGGTTGGCATCTGTGCCAAAAGGCAGCCTCGCCTAGGGCGCAGAAACACCTCGAGCTGGCCCTGAACACGATGCACCTCACAGCACCATTCTGGCTGCTCGTGACCCAACCAAAGGGATTCTCAAAGGCAGTGCTTTGAATCTGTCTACGTTTCTCTGACAAAAACTCACTGTTTCGCCCTAATAAACCTTCCTGGATTTTCAGGTTAGAAGGGGACATTCAAGAGAAGACTCCTGATCTTAACATCTCAACTCTTCGAATAAAGTCTGAGAATGGGGAGAAGACATATATCATCAGAATGCCATTCACAGAGACCATTGGAGACCTGCGGCAGCACCTTGCCCAGAGCAGGTAGGAATAGGGGGCATTCTGGTGGTTTTTGTGGCTAGTGTTTGTCAGCATGTGTTGAAAAAACATCTCACTTTGCTGACTTCTGAATCTGAATCGGAAGGTCTGTGTTCAGTAATAAGCAAAATTAGGAGGGAAATGCATGTTTGCTCATTTCCCCCAATTTATTCAGGCTGTGAAGTCTTGTGGCTAGGTGTTGTGAGTCTGTTCTGCTAGTAGAAGTATTTTCCCTGATGCAAGACACTCTTCTGAGCACTTTGCATTGCAGGCAAGCACTTAACTCAGAGGATAGTGCTTCCACAATGGATCTGCAAGATCAATGCTAGATGTTTAGGTGGTGCGGAAGAGAATATGTAAGGGACTAAGGACCTGTATGGTAACTGCGGTGGCTCAAGTGGTTAAGACGCTGAACTGCAGGCTGTGGAAGGTCGGTAGTTCAGCAGTTCGAGACCTGGGTTGCCGCATGATGAAGTGAGCTCCTGTCTCTAGTTCCAGCTCCTGCCAACCTAGCAGTTCGAAAGCAAGATATTGCAAGTAGATAAATAGGTACCACTTCGGTGGGAAGGTAACAGCGTTCCGTGCGCCTTGGTGTTTAGTCATGCCGGCCACATGACCACGGAAACGTCTTCAGACAGCACTGGCTCTTCGGCTTTGAAACGGAGATGAGCACCGCAACCCTAGAGTCGGACTCGACTGGCTTTCGAGCAAGGGAATCTTTACCTTTAAAGTTGATTGACCTATCTAGCCAAGATGGATTCAGACTCTCCCCCCATCCTCAGTGTTGCTTATCACTACACTGTTTCTCCTTCTCTCGTGTGTCCTCCCCCCACCTTGTCTAGCTTCTCCCTAGTTTTCCTGAATGTACCCTACTCATATATTTTGACCTTTGCTGATGGAATGAGGAAGAGTGACTATTTGTCATGTGCCAAAATGATAGCTCCCTCCATTTCCTCACACTGCCCTGCCCTTTCCATGAGGCTGCTGTTCTGTTTGGTGTTATTTTACAACTGTAATCAGCTGGGCAGAAAATACTCAGGATCCCGGGAAATCTTTAACAGCCCAGCTAGTTCCATACTCAGTAGGTGTGGTAGAGCCAGCTGGGAAATGATAGACCACCTGTCCCAGGGGATGACCTGCAAAAGAGCTAACTCTGGTGGGCCATACAGAGAAGCTGCCTAGCTCAGCTGCAGAAATACTGAAACTGCTGCAGATAAGGCTGTTATGGCTCCTCCTTTTTGTTTAACTTCCCTTGACATCTCTTTTGGTCTAGCGACTTGCCAAAGAATCTCTCCTGCAGGGTCTAGATCTCTTCTCTTCCCACCTTTCTCTTCAAAATCCTCTAATGATGTCTAGAGCTGGCCCCAAACAAAACTGAACACCGGGCAAGGAACATCTGTGCCCCCTTCCAATTTTTGTTAACTTCTGAATACTTAATTTCTTTTCGCTGATGCACAATTGATAAGAATGGATTCTCCCAGTCATAACACAAGATTCAGGAAACCCAAAATGAGCATTGTGTTAATAAAGGCTGGATTCTTTCCCATGTAATGAATTTATTTTTTATGGTATTACAATCATTCACATGTCCACTTTATTGAACGGGCATTGGTACAGCTTTTCCCCATGAACTAAAAAAAAATTAGAAATGAGCATCAATGCAGCACTGGCCATGCATCTCAGCACTGTCAATTTTACAACGAAAGAGATGCCATTAAGCTGCAAGAGTACAATCAGGGAGTTAAGGAGGAAGCTTATGCCAGGTGCCCCCCCCCCCCGGCCTGATTCCCTGGCAAGTGTCTGGGTCACCTGCCCCTAAATCCAGTGTCAGACTAGGATCTGGGAGAATGAGGTTTCAATACAGGAGCTCTGTAGAGAAGCTCGTCACCTACTTTTGTATTAAAAACTGGCCACCTTTGCTGTAAAAAACCTGTATTATGGTCTTTGTTGTAACAAAACCCTTTTTTCAGGATTGTAAAAATTAAAAAAGGTATTTGAAGGATTTATGGATTTAAGAACTTCTGGCAAAAAGCTTAATAAAGAGGAATTATAAGGAGGTTTTGAAACAGAAAAGGGGATAATCATCTTTCTAATTTTTTATTTTCAATTTTATCTTTGATAAAACTGCATATGAAGTAAAGTTACTAGTTCAAATCAAATAAAACCTTTAATGGCATACAGAATAAACTAGGACAGATTACAGCATTGTCAAAATAAGAGTAGTAAAAAGAAAGAATTGCAGAGTTAAAATTTAAATATAACATTGCATCATCACTGTGTCTTATCTTGACGAATCTTAATAGCACATTGAAGAAATGAAACAACCTTCTCAGTTATGCGAGGAAAACCATCATTCGAATATATTGGACCTTAATATGATCAGACAATCCCAGCTTCCCGCCAAAGATGCGGCTTAAAAAACTAGTACCTCCGAGATACTAGTTTCCGGAAACCACAGGGCAAGGGCGGGCATCTGATTAAGGAGACCGGGGGGGGGGGGCTTTCCGGCTGCTGCACTGCTTCTCCCGGCTGTTGCTTATCCGGAGCCTTCCCTGTTTGCCCTCCCCAGACACGCATGCGCGCACGCAGAGCCACCTCCTCTTTTCTGTAACCCCCCCCACACTCCTGGCTCGGCCTGCTCGAAAGGAACTCTCTGCACCGGGCGGCAGAGGAAGAGGTGCAGGGGGGGCGTGGCGGGAGGGCGGCCCGGCCGAAGCTCCTTCTGGAGGGGACCGGACGGAGGACACAGTTTGCATTCCTCTGCAGCCCTGGAAGGGGTTAAACCCGTGTGATTGGCACCTCCCCCCTAACCACGGGACCTCGACGGGACATCTGATTGTGCAGCCAGCGTTATTTTGCTCCGGGGCAAACAGCCACGCTTCTCCCCCACATTTTCTGGCCCGTGTGACCGGAGCCAAGGGTAATAAAAGAGGATAGAATGTTACTAGTTAAAGAGACTAGACTGCCGTGGGATTATTTTTTTGTTTCTTCTAAAAGACGGTACTCAGTTGGGGGATCTTATATAAAATAAGGTGATGACTCAGACTGTGACTTTCATTGCTATGGTGATATGACTCAAAGCTGTGGAGAGTGAAAAGTGAAAGTACTTGATTTATAAAGATGCAAAACCTGTAAGATTTGTTTTAAGACTTTATCCTACAGTGGCAAATACTAGAAAAAAATCAGCCAGATAGGCTTAGACAGAACTACCTGTAGAGAAGATAGTTAAGTCGGATATGATTCAGAAATTATTTGAACTAATGGAAAATAAGATGGAAGATCTTGGAAACAAAATATAGAATCTTTTGAAAAAAGAATGGATGAAAGACTGGTAAAGGTAGAAGAGGAATAAAGCACATATCTGGCAAGGTAAAGCAAATCAATGAGAAGGTAGTGACTTTAGAGGATAAAACAGAAGCCATAGAGAGCTGGAAAGACAACTAGACAATTTGGCTTTGATGGAACTGAGAGAAAAAGATTTAGAGCTATGTCAAATGCTCCAACATTTTAATTCAAGATTAAAAATTGGCAATGCAGATATAACAGTTCTGAAAGAAATCCCTATCAGAATTCTACGTAATAGAAAAGACTGTGCCTTCCTGATTGAAAAATTAATACAGAAAAAGAATTTTTTGATGGGCTACTTTGGAGTGTGTGATTTTTACTTTTAAGAAACAGAGATTCAGACTGAACTCAGTTCAAAAAGTGAGGGATTTCTTAGAAAGATATAAAAGAGATCTGAAGGAGATGCAAAGGGAAAGTCCAGCAGAACCCAGACGGAACAGTGGGAAAATATATGGTTAAAAGGCTTGAAATTTTGCATAAAGTTTTAGCCTTAAAGAGAACTTTTATAAGATGATGTATCGTTGGTACATGTCTCTGGAGAAACTGGCCAAAATCTGTAAAGGTATTTCAAGTCTGGGTTGGAAATGTGAACAACATGAAGGAACATTTTACCATATGTGGTGAACATGTAAGAAGGCTAAATTTTTTGGATACAAATTCAGAAGATTTTAAAGATTAAAATACAATTGAAACCAGAATATTTTATTTTGGAACTAATGGACACTCAGCTGGAAAAAAGCCATGGAGCTTTGTTTTTATATATGACAACAACAGCGAGATTATTATATGTGCAAAAGTAGAAGAGTCCAATATTGACTACAATAGGGGAATGATGGGTGAAGGTGTTAGAACTTGCGGCAATGGCTAAACTTACTTCATTGATTAGAGAAAAGACAATAAGTTCGTTTACTGCTGATTGGAAACCTCTTATAGACTTTTTGCCTGAAACCGATCATAATGAATTGATTATTTGTGGGTTCAATGAATAAGGAATTTAGACAACAGGGAAAAAAATCTTTGTAAACATCGAGTAACAGAAAATTTTATAATCATACTTATATTTGTCGCAGAGAAACTCTGAAACCTCTTCTTATAGTTATAGTTTTTCCTTTTTTTCTCTCCTTGTTGTTTTTCTTCATTATTGTTCTTCTTCAGTTGAAAAAAAAGATGGGCCCTCAAGGCCAAATAGTGAACTCCTACATAACAAAACTGAGTAACTTGCTCTACAGATTTCCTATTAACTTGCCAATTATACTTATTTGGGTGATTAGATTTAGAGAACACCATCACCTTAGATTGTTCTTAGTTGATTTGTCAACCCTTCTACAGGCTTTTCCGCATTCTCATTTTCCTTCTCAGTATGTTCCTGTTGCTGGGGGGGGGGGGGGGGCACGTTCCTGTTCCGCACATGTTTTGCTCCCTGTAGTGGTTATTTCGATTTTATATTGCTTTATGTCCAGCATAAAAACCTGCAGTTTAAATCTGCAGGGAGATATGCCAGACATAAAGTCATGAAATATCAAATAAACCACCAGAAAGAGCAAAACACTCATGGAACAGGATCACTGACCCCCCCCCCCCAGCGACAGGAACACACAAGCAAAGAAAATAAGAATATTCCGAAAAGGCCTTCAACAGTCCGAAAAGGCCCACAGGAGATCTAGCTAACAAAAGCGTAATAACACGGTTATTGGGATGTTAGCCAATATGGGAGAATGGAATTTTGGGTTTCTTAAAAAGGATGCCATATGATTTATATACAGATTAAACAACAATGGAACTAGCAGGTATCCTTGCCAAACGCCCTTCTATAAAGGGAAAGAATTGGGCAACTGGCCTTCCAAACTACAGTGGCTCCGAGCCAAAGGCGAATCATTTACCTTCTTAATTAACTATAACAATCTTTGGTCAGTTGAATATTTCCCACATTTGTCATTCAGTTCCCTTTGGCACTGAATCAAAAGCCACCTGCAGATCCATAAAAGCCATGTATAAATTGCTTCTTATAGTTAATGTATATTTCTTGGCTAAATGATATAAAACTAAGCCATGATCTATTGTAGACCTTCCAGTAACAAAGCCAGCTTGTTCAGGACCTAGAATCTTTTTCAGAGATGACCCAGTCCAATAATCTCTGTAATTACAAAGAGGCACGGAGTTTTTCTAATGAAGACAAGAGACTACTTGGACAGTAATTAGATGGAGTTCTCCTATCGTCTTTTTAAAAAGATAGGCACTATAATCACTTGTTTTCACACACTTGGGATTATACCAGTTTCATTTATTACTGAAAAAATTGGAGCCAGAAAAGAGCTCCACCAGTCTGTGACCCCCATTCTACCATGGAAGCTGGCTGAATGATCTTGGGCCAATCACACACACTTCCACCCACCCAACAGGGTTGTTGTGAAGATAAAATGGAGACTGTTGTAAGCCACATTGGGGGAAAGTGGGTATAAAAGAAGTAAATAAAATTACTTGTAAGTTACCAATGTTGGGTTTGGTTTAAGAGGGCTGGAAAGATACACCAGAATCTGTGCAATTGTCCTTTGCAAATGCTGACATCAAATGTTCTCGAGTATCTGCCAGACCATCCCCACAAGTATTCGATAGCCAGTGTTCAGAATTGTGATACTTAATGTTACACATTACCTTTATTTGATGCCACATTTCATGTTGGACGTTTAGGGTCTTGATAGATGGCAGTGCAATAGATTTTGGTAGTTGACTGCTTAGTTGATGCCTGCTAAAATCACAGTTGTGATAATATTTGAACATCAAAGCAAAATTTCATTCTGAATGTGTTTTTTAAAATCTTTTATTTATAGAATAAATAAATTTTTAAATCTGAATGATAAAGTACTTTGCAGACAGACTCCTTTGTCATTTACAAGTCCTGTTCTGGTTTTCTTCCAGGGGAGGAGAGCTGGAGTCATATGAGATCCTCAGCATTTTCCCCCGGCAGGTGTACAACAACAATGCTATGACCCTGGAAGAGTGTGGGTTGGTCCCCAATGGCTCCCTTCTTCTGAGGAGAAAGGTCTCTCCAACAAAATTGCCAGGACAGCAGCTGTAACAGTTTACAGCGGATGATTCATCAGGCTTGGCTGCCGTTCATTTCCCAAGGAAGTAATGTCCTTCATTCTCCTTCCCTGGTTAGCCTCCCCTCTTGGCAAGAAGACTGTTACTTATGATCAGTAGGAGCCATGATAGGACTGTTGTCTATGTTACCTAAGTGTCAACTTTACTTTATGGAGAAATGTAGGAGTGCACAGATAACTTTGTTCCCTTGCATTACTGTACACCCTACCCCAATCAGGCAAGTATTGCCTTTTCCTGTTCTGGCCAGCTGGAGGGTGACCTAGAACTAGATATAAGCCACAGAGACCCTAAGTGGTACACTTGGCTGCTTTCCACATTGTTGCTGAGACTCTAAGCCCGCTGTCTTATTGGGACCTATGCAGTGTAGGGCTCCCAAGGTTGTGTGCTGCAGGATAGCATCCCCGAGAACACGGTGGCCTATCCTGGGGGGTGGAAGGACACGCTAAGTCAATCAGGTAGGGTACAGATACTATTTCATGCCCTATAATGGGAAGGTAAAGCAGAAGAGGACCTGGAAGCCTCACCATCCAACTGCTCTTCTTGGGAGTGATGTGCTGGGAAGGGCAAGCTGGACATCCAGAACAGAAACTCTTCCCCTCTTTCAAGAACGGTACCTAGCTTCTGGGCCAAGCCCACCTATTTTGCTCAGCCGAAGGCTGTGACTGAGTTCAACCCCGCAGATTTGACAGAGTACTGAATTGCTCTCTTCCTACAACATGGACAAAGCACTAGGTCATCCAATTCTACCTCCATCCCCGCCAGGTAGATGTTGTTCACTTAACATTCATCTGACCCCCATGGTAAGCTGGCTGCCTCTTTCAGGGCCAGGATAAAGTTTAAACCATTTTTTTTTTTTTTTGCAGGGCTAGTCGTACCCCACAATTGGGAGGTGGGGGCAGCCACAGAGCTCGGTCGTTTACGCTGCCCGTCTTCTCCCTCTTAACAAAGACCAGCATTAGATGGATACTTTCTCTGGTTCTTTCAAATAGTACAGAAGGGGTGGGTGGGTATATAAGTTGCTTATTTACAGTCCTTACAGCTTTGTATTGCTGATGGGGGGGGGGGAGACTGAATGCTCCCTTCAGCACAGAAAGATAAAGAAACGTTTTGTTTAAAAACAGAGTGTCCTGCCTAGAGTGGTGTTGAACACTATATGGGCTTGGTCTTTTTCCTGCTGTGTTTACCTTTCAAGAGGGCAGGGCACCGCTGACAGAAAAGTCTCCCACGTATGCAAATCTCTCCCCTCCCCTTTAAATTGTACCGTTCCTGAACACAGACTTCAGCCTGTACTCGACTGGCATGTCAATGAGTGCCCCAGCAGCCTAAAAGTAATCGAAAGTCAAAGTCTTCACAGGCCAGTGCTAGACTCCATTCCCTTTGCATAACAACTCAGGTCACTGAACCAGCAAGGTCTTGTCACACAACTGCATTCCCCCACCAGCAACAAATCTTCCACTTCTCATACAGCAGGAACATCCCTCCATTCTAACAGAGCAGCTTACTGGCTCCCTATGTTGAACCACCTTTGAGAAGCCAAGGTGTTCTCTCAGTGACCACGAACAAAGGTTTATCTAACTGGATTTACACAAAGCATAATGAATGGGTCTTGCTCGTCTTATGCCGTGCTCATGGAATGACTGAGAGTGATCCTAGTGTTCTTCCATGAGATACTCCTGAGTCCATCTGTGGCCTTGTAACTCCAGAAAACACATCAAGATGCTCTATGCCAATAAAGGTTTTGAACTTGATATCAAGATGCCGCGAGAGAACAAAGTAATTTTAACAGGTAGTTGAAGCAGAGATAATACAGATTTCATACTCCTTCCACCCCAAGCATGGATTTAGTACAGCAGTCAGGGCTTTATGGTTTAGGTTTTTAAACTCAGGTCTACTTGCCTTGTTTTGGATGGCAATTAGAACCACTCAGTTCATCCTTCCTACTTTATTGGTTTAATTGCCGCCCTGTATCTTTCCTATCCCTTGCACAAAATCGTATTTTAAAAATACAAACTAACTGAGGACCGCTGTGCCAGACCTTTTCTGGCACTTGAGCAAAGGCATCTTCTTTGGGCTGAGCCACAGTGATGAATGCACTTAAGCCTACCCAACAGAGCTGGCAAATGGATTTTGGAATCAATAAGCAGGGTGCCACTCAAACATTTATCTCCCAAGTAAACATGTTTTTAAAAACCACAGGAAGCCACAACAGAGGTTTTTAAAGCAACATTTAATAGCATCTCAGAAGAGAATGCCCTTTTACAAACTTTGCTTTTAGCGGGGGGGGGGGGGAGATCACAAGAAACAACCAAAAATGCACTTGGTCCATGTTTACAAAACGCCCGCTCCCAAGAGGAAAGTATCAGTTTGGGTGCAACAGCTGCTGACAGAACAGACATCTAGTATGCTGGTCATTGGCTGTAAAATAAAATTGTTGATGTTGTTGAACAGACATCTGAAGTCATACAGATTCTATCCGGGCATTCTGTGACGACCCTAAATGGAATCTGAGGTCTCACCATTGGCTTAAAGCGGCTTTCCTTAAGATAGGTCTGGGCTATGCTGAAGTAGTTTTAAGACACACACAGCCCCTATTCTTCTGGCCCAGAAGGATGCTTCAGCCCACAACCTGGTGCAGTGCTTTTGCATTACTGTGTAGCAAAAAAGAAAAAAGCAGGCTCTCTGCCACACTTCTTTCCCACAATGGAACCAAAGAGGAAGTGTGGAAATGAGTCAGAGGCAGCACCCAAGCCCCACATTCAGCTTTTATAACAAAATGGGGAAGAAAAACTCAGATCCCAACATCCTTGGACTGGGCAGATTTCTCTGTCCAGGGAGGCACTAGAAACAAGGCCCCGGCTGCATTCGAGGGAATGTGCAAAGTGTCTTTGGGTGGATTCCCTTTCACGGCCATACAGAGTGAAGCAGGCAACAGAAGTCAGGCAGCTGGAGGGGGGAGATTTGGATGCACAGGACTGGGACAGGTTTGAGGCTGACTTACAAGGTTACATGGTGATCCATCCGGAATGCAAAGTTCAAGTTTTGAATGGGGTGGGGGGGAGAAGGAACACACTCAGGCTAGCTTCAGGAACTCATGCAGGGTGTTCTGTTCCACCGCTTCCACAAACAACTCATAGTCCTGTGCCAGATAGGAGAAAAAAAAGAGGCAAAACTCAGATTCAAGGATTGAGAGGACAAAGACAAAGGGGTGGATCCCAAGAATCGTTTCCACCAGTGGAGGTGCTTTTCTCCAATGCCAGGAGCCTTCCACTTGTGCAGGACAAGCATCTCCCATTGGGGACAGTTCCTTCCACTGGAGAAAAGCACCACTGCTATTTGAACAGACCACCAGATCCAGCCCTACAGACGAACACACTAGTTTGATAGCTCCAGGCCACGAGGAACTGAATGAGTTTTCACACTCCAGAAGAGCATTCCTCTAGAGCAGGAGCGCTCTTCGAGCATCTTCTACCCCCATTTACTTTTCTCTAGTCCTACTATCATGGTGCTCGGCAGAAACTGACAGTGAAAGAGTGGGGGCCCTGACTGGACGGAGTTCTTCCGTACACTTCTGCTGTGGACAGTGTTTAGAACTTATTACAAAGAGAACAAGGAAGGCTATGTTAGCCAGAGACAAAGGCTGTGGAATAGAGATAAATCTGCTAGGCTGAATCGAAAATGTTGCTTGCCAAGTGAGACTTCCCTGCCTTCTGCCTCTTAAACAATAGCTCCCGAGGGTCAGGGTAACCTCAAGATTGGCACACAGTATACAGCTGGAAGAAGACACTGCCAGAAACAAGGGTCTTCTGCTCTCTTGCATTTCCACTAGGACACTGGGAGCCTTGGATACTCCCATCTAGAGGGTTTTTTATTATAAAGGCAAGTCAAATGGCTCAAATCATCAAATCATTTTAGGAGAGCTCTCTTTCTTACAGAGCTTTCGCTAAGTACCACACTGAAAATTATCACCAGCCATAGGACTACAGCTCATGGGACTATTTTTAAGACAAGCCCCTTTTCTCACCAAGCTAAGCTTCAGTTCAGCCAGGCAGGCCAAAGGGAATTTGCATACAGGCATATACAGATGCCACCTTAATTTTGCACTTTTTTAAATTATGGGCTTTTTAATGCAGGGTGGATATTATACACACAGTAGGCCATAAGAACAAACCTCACCTGCCCCAACCTTGAGTATGAAGTAGGGTCCATGCAGGGCCGGCCCGAGGTGTTTCTGTGCCCTAGGCGAGACTAGCTTGTGGTGCCCACACCCCCTCAGCACAGATGCCAACTTCCTGGTGGGGCCTGGAGACCTCCCAGAAACACACCCGGGGGGGGGGGGGCCAGGCCCCCCAAGCTAGCCTCGTCCCTGCCCGGATCCTTAGGATCAGCACGGGAATTGCGCTTTCTCCCCCCCCTCCCGGTTTTCTTTTCCTGCGCCGGGAAGGGGAAAGCAGCCACGACAGCAGCAAGCAAAGGTAGCAATTGGCTTCTCCACCGCCTCCCCCCCCCCATGTATACCTTATGCAGAGAGGCAGAGACGCAACGGGGGAGGGCTGGAGCTGATTCCATTTGCTGTACACGGTGGAGGGGAGAGCGTGCCGGAGGCACAGAAGAGGGTGGTGGGTGGGGGAAAATCCCCCCCTTCCCCACTTTTGATGGCAGCGGTCGCGGTCCCGGCGGCGGTGAGGAGGGCGCAGGGGGGGAGGCACAGTTTGGCGCCCCATCCAAGGCCCCCCCTCCCTTCCCCTCGCAACGAAAACAGAACTGGCGGGGCTTTTGGCGGGGGCAGGGCCGGGAGCAGTTTGGCGCCCTAGGGCCAGCCAGTCACTGACTGGCTGGCCCTAGGGTGCCAAACTGCACTTATCCCTGCCAAAAGCCCTGCATCTCCCAGACCGGGTGACCGCCACCGCCCCTTTCTCCTCGAGTCTGGCAAGCTCAGTGGTTGCTGGACTCGGGGAGAAAGAGGCGGCGGTGGTCAGGAAAATGCAGGGCTTTTGGCAGGGGTTGGGGGGCTTTGACGGGGGGGGCGGGTCCAGTTTGGCACCCTAAGCTCTGGCCCACGCTATAAGCAAATGCCTAGTTCGCCTAGCGGGTGAGCTGGCCCTGAGTCCATGAAGGTCAGACTGGACTTACACAATTTTACAGCAGACAGCTTGTGCAAACAGGATCGACTTGTGCAGATATTTATCTAGCAAGGGCCTGGTTTACATCCTGCCAACCTAGCAGTTCGAAAGCAAGAAATTGCAAGTAGATAAATAGGTACCACTTCGGTGGGAAGGTAACAGCGTTCCGTGCGCCTTGGTGTTTAGTCATGCCGGCCACATGACCACGGAAACGTCTTCGGACAGCGCTGGCTCTTCGGCTTTGAAACGGAGATGAGCACCGCAACCCTAGAGTCGGATTCGACTGGCTTTCGAGCAAGGAACCTTTACCTGGTTTACAATGAAGCTTGTATGTCCCAAAATACACCCTCATATATATAACATATACATTGGGTTCATGAGTGAAGGTCCCTATAAATCTGCAAGCCATCTGAAAGGTTCAGATCAAGCATCAGAGTCGCCCTGGGCTCAAAGAAAATTCTCCTGGCAAGCTAAATTGGATATATCAACAATGCAGTATAAGCTAGGTTTGTCTTTCACACATAGCCATTAGCAAGACTCCAGGTAGCCAGTTGCTATCCACTCACCCCACAGTACCGGTCCCCATTGAAAATCTGAGGAGGAATGGCTTTTGGGTTACCCGATTTGGCCCTCATTTCTTCCCGCAAGGCATTATCCTGGGAAATATCCACCAGGTTGTACTTGATGTTCTTTCCATCCAGAATCCTGGTCACTTCGCTCTGTTGGGATTTTATCTGAAAACATACACGGGGGAAAAGGAGAAGAGTTAGTTTCCCATCTGGGCTTTCCCATCCACAGCAGCAGTACAGGACAACACTGCTGCAACACAAAAGAGCCAGAAGCAGGAGCAGCTTGCTTCACAGCCACACCTTGCTGGGGATGACGAGGGCAGCTCATCCTGACACAGCCCAAGAAATACAATTCTCGACTTCCATGCAAGTCCCATGCAGAGACAGAAAAGGAGCTGCCTCCAAGTGGATCTGGATCCAGCCAGGGAATGAGTGGGGTGGGGATTCACTCTAAAAGGGGGGAGGGGAGGGAGCTGTAGGCCTTTTCCTCTGCTCCCCTTCCATAGGACTGGCTTAGTCCCAGTTAAGACCCCACTCCGATTTCTCGTGTGTCATATCCCGAGGTCTGGGAGAAAAAGCAGCAAAGACTCTTCCATAATCTATCCTCCCCCCCACCCCACGTCCCTTGGAAAGCTAAGACGGGGAGACACATATAGAGCCAAGAGGCGGAGATGGGAAAGCGCAGCGGGAACCGGGCAAAAGGAGCCAAGATAGCTGGGGGGGGGGGGGGGGAGAGCAGTGATGCGTACTCTTGCAGAAGGGAGGGGGAAAGCCCGGGGGCGGCTTTGCGGGGGTTTGGCTGCTGGGGAGGAGGAAGCCACCCCGCTCTCCCTCCTCCCGCAGGGGCAGGACGGTGCTTACCTCCCGAGAGCCGGTCACCGAGGTGCTGTAGACCGTCAGGCAAGTCATGGTGCTGGGTTCGCAGCCACTCCCTTTCTCCTTCGGCCGCCAGATGTGTGAAACCGGAGGGGAGGGAAGAAGGGCGAGGGATGGAGCGGCGTCCTTCCCACCCTGCCCCGCATGTGACCACGAAGACCAATGGAACCGGCGGCCGTGGGCATGCGGGGGAGGAGGTATGGGAGCCGGCCGCCCGGCGGTGCCTTGGAGACGACGAATCCGGGAAGCCCCCCGCCCCGCCCCACAGTTTGCGGGTGCCTCTTCGCTCACTGCCTGAGCCTGTGCGTGTTTACTTGGATGCAAGCTTCATGCAGGTCAATGGGCGGACACGGGATTGCTGCTTTAACGTTCAGATCGCCACGTTAGGGTTGCCAGCTCCGGGTTTGGAAATACCGGGAGTATTTAGGGGTGGAGCTTAAGGAGGACGGGGTTGGGGAGGGACTTCAGTAAGGAATAATGCCAGAGTCCACCTTCCAAAGCGGCCATTTTCTCCAAGGGGACTGGTCTCTCGGTCACCTGGAAATCAGTTGTAATAGCGGGAGATCTCCAGACACCACCTGGAGATTGGCAACTCTAGTAGAGGCGATTTGCGATTTAGTAAATTCTTGTCTATTAGGCAACCATCTCTCTCTGGCCATCGTCTGCATTTAGGCCTGGAAGGAAAAGGAAAGTGTCCTGTCCCTTTAACAGTGTGCAAAAACTTAAGCCTTTCGTGCTGGGGCTGTAAATAATATCTCACTAAGCCACGTTTAAACGGACAGGTCATTTTCTCAAAGCTGCTGGCAATCCTAGGTTAGACCTGAGTTCTTCCTGTAAATTTGGCGGGGACTTGAAACTGGCTCAGCCAAGATCTGCTGTCTACTGAGTATGCCACACAACCAGAAAGGAGAGACCAACACCCACCCTAGCAGAGTTCCTTGACATCCAAGCTTGTATTTTGCTTGTATTTTAGCTCTGGTTTAAATTGTCTTAATGATTGGGGGGAGGTTAATGGGTTTAAAATGTGGTTTTCTTATCTATGTTTTGATTTGTTAGCTGCCTTTGGTGACCCTTATGAGAAATATACATTTTGTAAAATTAATAAATCTGATGCACAGGGGCCAATCAGTGGGCCACTTTAGTGAATACCCACAATGCCCCCAATAGCCATGATTTCCCCACAAATACATGCATTCTCCGACACGGATGTCCCAGCACCACCTGAAAAAACAGGTTGCTTACCAGTAACTGGTGATCTTCGAGTGGTCATCTGTGCATTCACACCAATGGGTTTAGTGCGCCTGCGCTGACCCAACCGGTGCTGTAGCAAGCTATGTTTCAAAGGATTTTCGCGCGGGTCCCACTGCGCATGCGCAAGAACCCCGGCACGCATGCCCAGAGGGACGGGCGCGGAGATCCCGCCAGTTCCTTCAAAGCACCGCCGCCAATCAACACCTATCAAAAAATTAGGAGCTGACAGCAGAGGGGAAGGAGGGCGGGTGGTGTGAATGCACAGATGACCACTCGAAGATCACCAGTTACTGGTAAGCAACCTGTTTATCTTCTTCGTGGTCTCTGTGCTTCACACCAATGGGAGACTAGCGAGCCATATCCTACCTGGAGGAGGGTGCTGGCAGGATGTTCATCGCTGGGCTGAAGACAAAACGTGACGGCCGATGCTGTCATTGGTGCGTCGGACGTCGAGGGCGTAGTGCCTGATAAATGTATTGGGCGTAGCCCACGTGGCAGCTTTGCAGATGTCATGTATTGGCACACCTTTCAGAAAAGCCGTAGATGTCGCGAGAGCCCTAGTGGAGTGAGCTCTGATGGGACCAGGCAACGGCTGTTTTGCCAGGAGGTAGCAAAGACGAACCAATTCCACTATCCACTTGGATAGACGCTGGGCTGTTATACGAGTCCCCAGGCGAGGTGATGCATATGAAAGGAATAGATGGGGATCTTTCCTAGTTGGATGTGTCCTTTTCAGGTAGAACAAGAGAGCCCTCTTGACATCCAGTGTATGCAGTAATCTATCCTCAGCAGATACTGGATTTGGAAAGAAAGTCGGCAAGAAGACTTCAGCTTGCAGATGGAATTCGGAAATTACTTTAGGCAGGAACGAAATGTCCGGTACCAATCTGATTCCGTCAGGAAGTACGGAAAGGTAAGGAGCGTCGTGCCAGAACGCTAAGAGCTCTCCAACTCTCCTGGCCGACGTGATTGCAACCAAAAATGC